ATTGTCAAGTGCCAAAAAGTAATCGATTAATGTTTCTCTGACGATTAATTGCACACGATACGATTATGCCCAACCCTAGTAGTATTAAAGCGAGCACTGCTGTTCCCAGCCTGCAGATTTTGCAATATGCAGTTTCAGCATCATTGTTTTTCCACTGAAAAGTGTTCCCACACTGTGGACATGGTTCCATAGTTGTGTGCATCTTGTCTTCTTAACTGCAGTTGTAAAGCATGATGATGCTGAAAACTGTCATGAAAACTGGATCGGCCCGATCACATGACTAAATCCGATTCTACCCGATTTTCAAAAAATGGTCTTATCTGCCACCGATACTGAGTATCTGATCGGGACGTCCCTATTACTATAATAGTCTGTGGCTGATGTAACCAACCTGCAGCTTTATCAACTGCACCAGTTGGTCACCTGTGTGTATATACGTTTTTGCTACCTGATAGGGCTGCACCGATTAGTTTAAATAATCGATAACGTCGTTTATGTAAATTTGTCGACACAGATTTTTTTTATTATTGATTCACTGTATTCCATAACCACCACGTGAATGTTCATGAAATTCCATTTCGATACCTAAATGCATCATTGTGACCATATTGGCATAAGAGTGGTGAGTTTTCCATGCTTGTCCTGAACACAGCATCGCGCAAGAGCGTAATGACGTCAGCAGCCGCTGCTTCAGTTCAGTCTGAAGCTTGAAAACAAGCCTCGCAGCTCCTGGAGTAAAATTTACCGAACAGACCGCCTCTGAATTATCTGGTGGATTAATTATCTTGTGAACACGACGTTCGCTTGCTCAAAGTAAATAAAGTACCACCACTTTGTTTATTTCATCCACCATTAAACAGAGACCAGTGTTAGGTCGAGCTGCGTTCCCCCATCAGACGGTTCCCCCATCAGACGGTTCCCCCATCAGACGGTTCCCCCCATCAGACGGTTCCTCCATCAGACAGTTCCCCCCATCAGACAGTTTCCCCAGCGTCTCAAACAACAGAGGAGCTTCCTGACACACGTCTGACCTAAAGAGCACAAGCAGCCAACAAGTGTTGGACATGTTTAGGATGTTTAAAACGTAGCTTAAATACCTTTTGTTTATTTTAACTGCATCCTCTTTTGTTTATTTGATTTAAACTTATTTGCCTTCCATGGACCTCCATCACACATTTTTCTAGTGGGGAAATGACATCAATAGAAACACTGTATGTGGAGCTGGATTTTAATTTGTACAATAAGACAAAACAGTCTTGTTG